AGCAATTGGTGGAATGAAGATTGGCAGGGGAAACCGAAGTACTCGGAGTAAACCTGCCCCAGCGCCACTTTGTCCACCACAAATCTCACTTGACCAGACCCGGGATCGAACCCTGACCGCCGCGGTCGGAATCCAGCGACTAACTGCTTGAGCCATGGCGCGGCCCCCAAGCATTGTTACGTTGTTTATCAACTCTGAAACATCTGAACCTTTAAAGGAAAAATGCTTTAAGCGTTTTGTGGATGGGAGGTTGATGCTCTAACTCACATTAGCATTCGAAGAATACTCATTCTGGGTGATAGCGGGACAGAGGAACTCCCTGCAATAAAAATGGACCTGTTTTTGCAGCAACGCAGTGAGACTCCATTCAACTTGAGTAGACTCAATTCTGTTACTTCCCCCACTGCTCTAGTGCCAAGTGGAACACATTCATTTCTTTAGATGTTGTTTTTCAATTATCACAGTGTCTTCAAAAAGCAAAATTGCGCTTTGTACAGTTTCCAAGTTTGCGTGGCTAATAACAATGATTTGTGGTTAAGATGATTGGATTTACTGGCACTTCTTTACAATTACAATCAATTATCACAGTTCATAATTAATGACTCTCTATAAGGCTCGTTCCATTCCTTGCTAGACTAAGAGTGTCTTCTCTTACACTACGATGAATGACGAACAAAGAATCACTTCTCACACTTTGAACTCACTGAACTCCTTCTGAATTACGACTCCTTTATAACTTCTGAGATGTCCGAATATAGGTCACCATTACAAACGGTTCCTCTGTTATTCTGTGTTATCCGTTGCAGTGAAAACTGTGTTTAGCGACTTGCTATCTATCAACGGCTCGTTCGTTGAAATTCGTTGCAGCGGGAACGTGATTACCGAGCCACTGTTCAACAATGGACGTCTATTCTGGATTCACTATTCCGGCTTTTAGGGGATGTTTATCGAAGCGTTGTCTAGCAACGGCCATATTCCGTCACAACAGTCATTGCATTCTCTGCGGACATTTCCACTCTCTAATGAGGTGCGGAGACAGTAAACAAGCATTTATTTATTAAACACTGATGTCTGAGAAAGCCCTTGTCAGTCAGAATATCAGCAAACCTTAACATGCCGTTTACTTTCTCAATATAAACACATGTCATTTGTATTTTAATTCATCGGAAACCTCCAAGAAAGTAGGACGAGCAATTATCGAATCAATAGCGATATTTCGCATTGTTTTTCTCTTAGCGTTTCCTTCTCATTGGGACCAAGGGCAGCCAAGAACATTGTACTTTTACAAGTTGTACTGCATGGCATCACGGTCACAAACCGAATCGGATAACATGAAAATATTAGAAATATATGTCTGCTTTCGCAACTTGTGTTAAGCTCCAGCCATGCATTGATAATGTCACGTATAGGAGGTACGCGTGACGAAAGTAACGGGTTCTACATCGGATAATTGGATTTATTGGCACTTCGGTTGCAAGTTCTCTTAATCACACTCAATTATAAGGCTATCGCTATTCTACACACTTTCAGTTCACCGTTTCACACGCACTAGAATTCCCAGTCTTCACTAGTCGTCTCCTAGCAGCGTATCTCTACACAGAAACTAGCACTTCAAATCATTATGAATTCTTCTAGCCATTTCTTTTTTCGACCGCCCTGGAACCTCGGAACTCAACTAAAACTCTCTGTCTAGTACTCACTCCTCCAGCTCACGGCTACCCGCCAACGACCTTTGCTGACCCCTACAAATCTTCGGCGCGGACATACAGAAAACACATCACGTGATTCATACACAGAGAGTTCATTGGGACGCTGGCTATTGCCTAGCAACGAGCTATAAACATCTGTCTTATTGTTGCGTGCATGTATCGCTGGGTGTTTATCGAACCGTTGCCTGGCAATGCATTGACGTGTCACAATAAGATAATATTGCATGAGAAAGTAATTGGACCACATATGTCGCATTTAAGCAAAAGCATAGTACTGAAACCACAACCTGAGCAACAGTTGTTTCGCATTGTCAGACGTCATAAGCCAGAGGAATGTCCTGCAATGCAGACAAGCACGACTGAGCCTAATTTTCCCTTTCAAACCGAAGTACCGTGCAACAGTTGCACTCGGGTAAGCATGAAAGTTCTGCATTCTTTTGCAGGAACCCAACATGTAACTGGAGGAAATTGAATTCCATAACCGTCAGCACGTTCACAAAATTCCGACATTTTATTTTGACATGTTCGCGATAAGGAACTTATTCTAACAAACAGAGGCCTTGAGAAGCCGACAGTCGCCTATCTGTTCAAGATATTCCCCGCCTTTTATGGAATTTGAAAGTCGTTAGAATGTTCATAAGAACCCACCACTGCATTCTGTCCTCAGTCACACACACCCTCATTTCGCATTCAAGTAATTGACGATTAATTTTAATATTATCCTGATAATATTGAGATGGTCAGGGCATGTAGCACGAATGTGGGAGAAGAGGAAAGCATATAGGATATTGACGGGAAAGGCAGAAGGAAGGAGATCACTAAGAAAACCAAGACGTATGTGGGTAGATAATATTAAAATGGATCTTAGAGCGATAGAATGTGGTCGTATGGACTGAACTGATCTGGCTTAGGATAGGGACCACCGCAGTGCTCTTTTGAAGACGGTAAAGAACATTCGGGTTCCATAAAATGTGGGAAAATTCTTGAGTAGCTGCACAATTGGCGGCTTCTCAAGAAGGGCTCAGCTCCATAATGTTAGTTATTTCCTGATACTATGACAAGGGAACTGCAACCAATCAAAATTCGGTTCACGACTAAATGAAGGCCGATCAAGCTGGCTCAGTCGGTATTCTGACTTGCATTCAGTAGGTGCTGGCTTCAATCTCGCTCAGAACACAGATTATCCTGACAAATGTTTTCATGGTTTATCTCAGGCCTTTAATAACATAGAACCTCTTAATAGAACGGGACCGCTCCCTGCTGTAACCTTCCCAGTTAAGTGCAGACTAATCATCTAGGTTGCGGGTGTCAACTAGAATCGTTTGGCACAGGAGTAAGTAGTATAGAGGGCCCTTGTAAACACGGCCGTTTACTTTCGAGTTCCATAAACGAAGATAATTTATTTGTGTATCTGAGTCACAGTCAGCTTCTCAAGGACGCTGCTCCACGAAGCTGTTTCCCTCCATCCTACTCCTTTGTTCCTCAATAGAGCAATAATTCATCCGTAACGTTTTAAACTTAAGAAAACATCTTGAATTCTGCTATACACCGAACAATAATAAATAATATTATATAACTTAATTTAACCTTCACATGTTTTTATGAATTGTGTGAGGCCAAAAAATATATTATTCATCTTAGATGATATCATTTTTATTTAAAATTCATTATGTATATAACTTATTCCCTTTTCATAATTGGATGATTTATGCGATTTACGTGCTAAGTGTTAGATCCTATGCTTCGTGTAACCCCCCCCCCCGCAGACATTACGTTATCGCGCTTTTAGTGCCAGGTGTACGAGTGTAATATAAACTCATAAGTTGGAGATTTTTACTTAATATCGGTACCAAAAAATCAGTGACCCGGTGGCCAAATCTGGCCCGAGAGAATATTTCTACTGGCCTGCGAGTGGATAAAAAATTGAAAAATCATGAATATTCAATCTATTATGTTGGTTTTCTCAAATATTTAGTATTCTTATGAACGAATATCAAATCGCTAATAATTCTATATACCGTTTCCACTGACAACGCTGTAATTACTTAACATAGGTGTTGGCGCGTACGATCTGTCAAATTCCTAGGTTGGCAAACTCAACCTGCTAGTTTAATAGCTCCTCNGGGGATATAAGAACGGAACATAGAAGCAGATAATGTGGGAGAGGAAAATTGCAATCCATGAGGTGAACACTATATAAATGTGTATTTTAGCCTCGGTGTTTAGTTGTTGCAAAAGCTAATCGTTTCACAGCCAACATACAGGTCATAGTAAAAACATCTACCCCTTATGTAAGATTTGAGGTTTTCACGGCGGTGACTGTGAAGAAAGCAGTCTTCTGGGATGTGGCTCCGTGTAGATGTGGTGTTAACCGACGTTTCGGAGGAACGTATCACCTCCATCTTTAGGGTAGAAGGATAAATAAGAAATCCGCAAGCTTGTACCGGTTCTCACGGTCCCTTCGCTTTCGGATTTTTTATTTATCCTTTTACCCTGAAGGTGGAGGTGATGCGTTCCTCCGAAACGTCGGTTAACACCACATCTACACGGAGCCACATCCCAGAAGACTGCTTTCTTCACAGTCACCGCCGTGAAAACCTCAAATCTTACATAAGGGGTAGATGTTTTTACTATGACCTGTATGTTGGCTGTGAAACGATTAGCTTTTGCAACAACTAAACACCGAGGCTAAAATATATATTTATATAGTGTTCACCTCATGGATTGCAATTTTCCTCTCCCACATTATCTGCTTCTATGTTCCGTTCTTATATCCCCTGCGGTTTGAACGATAAGTGCTGGGAAGATATGCTGCAATTAGATTCCAAACGGTTCTGACGATGGTGGATGACACACAGAATTACTGGGTTTTCGGACTTTTTCCATAGTCCGGAATTCTAGGTAATAGAGGACACGACGTTTCGGAAACAGGATCTGTTTCCGTCTTCAGGTGAGGGGCCCAACTGAGTAGGTGTCTTTCTTTCTCACCTGAAGACGGAAACAGATCCAGTTTCCGAAACGTCGTGTCCTCTGTTACCTAGAATTCCGGACGATGGAGAAAGTCCAAAAACCCTGTAACATGCTGCAATGTTTTGCCATGTGGAAGTCAGTGTTTATGATAAAGAATTTTGAAGCAAGCAAAATTTGCTGAATTATAGTTTAAACTAAACTTATGAACAGTTTGTGAGGCGGTCTGTGAAAAAGAAAATTACATGACGTACCAATAGGAGTAAAATGCAAATTGTTTCTCTTTTAAAAACATGGTGTGAAAGAACTGAGTAATGTACTCACCACAAGCAGTCCTCCATTCTTGGCGTCCCTGTGGACCAGGAGTGCGGCCATGTTGTCCTCGTCTTGGTACACGTCTCCAATATCGTCATTCTGGAAACACAACATTGCACAGATGTAACCGCACAGCAAAGCACACCTCCGTGTATGTAGCACTGCACGCGCTCCTGTCAGGATCCTGTCGGATCAACTTGCCCAACAGAATTTTGGGTGTAAATTCATTAACTGTGTTTTTTAATGTTTTCCGCCTGTCAGCTCATTTTAAATATAATTCAGCAACTCGCAGCCCATAATATCACGTAGAATTTGAGGTTCTCAAAACGGTGGTGGTTATGATGAATACTATCTTCTGGGATATAACCCCGTGTAGTTCGTTGAAAGACAAACCGAAGTTTCTGAGGAACATATGGCCTCCATCGTCAGGGTCGAAGAAGAATCCGAGTAAGATACCAGCGTCAGCGGCCTCCGTAGTCCAGGGGTAACGATCCCACCTCGTGACTCAAGGTAGCGGGTTCAAACCCGGCGGAGGTCGTGGAATTTTTAAGGGCGCAAAATTTCAGGGAACAAGTCCTCCGGGAGGGACTTTAAGCCGTGGGTCCCGTGTCGTAGCTTTACGGCACGTAAAAGAACCTCATGTCTCAAGGGGACCTCTGAGCCAAATTCAGGACATTTCCCGCCCAACAGTAGTCTCTAACGCCTCTGGTAGATGGAGGAAGCATCGAGATACCGCTGAGCCAGTAGAGGCCGAACTCGCTGGCTGAGTCGGGATTGATGGCACGCACCAGTACCGGTAGGGTATAGAGACTGGTAGAATATCACAGGGGGACGCACAATGGACCAATATCTGGTCCAAGTGCATGGGGAAAGCCACCCTCTCCAATAACAACAACAACAACAAGAAAGATACCAGCGTCAAAGCATATGGAGAATTGCAAGTTACCACTTGCACCTCCAACTTGTATGGTTTGCGTCCTTCGTTGTTATAAATTCTTTACATAAATGTATATGGATATAGTTGTTACCTGCAAAGACTTGAAATTGCGTTGATTCACTGTTTACCTAGCTTTCGTTGACAGAGTATTAATTACTTCTATCTTCAGTTTTCTTCTGCAAATATCTGAAACTTAATTTTAGTTACAAAATATATTCACATGTCACATCAAGTTTATTCCTTATGGATGCACAGAAAACTACTAATTTCAACATTTAAGACCTCAAATTTCTTGCTATATGTTTGTTCCGGTTTGCTATAAGAATTAAATATACAACCAACGCCATTGTATGTGCACGTTTTTTAAATTATGTTCATACTCATTGCCATGTAAGAGATGCACAAACGTGTAATGTCTTAGCATTATTATTATTGCTTAATCACCTTTCGTGCATTTACTGTTACACCAAGGACGTCCAGAGATCTATCTGCCCCCTGTTCCCCATTATCCCAAACCCTGTCTCTCTTTTTGTATAGATTTCTCGAAGCATTTTGAGAACAGTAATTAGTGAATAATCGCAGAGTTACCAGATACATTCTACTTAATTGTAAACCGATATTCAGGAAATTCCATGAAATTTAATATGAAATTGCTGCTTCAAGAAGAAATTAAATGCACGTTAAGTACAGAGAATCATTACCGCCATTTGGTTCAGAATTTTATCTTCTTGTCTCATGACTAAAAATATGAAGATTAAAATATAAGTGACTATAACTTTGGCTTCAGTTTTCTACGGGTTCTTTACCCTGAGAGTGGAACATAAATTGAGCGTCTTTGATAACAAGGTAAACAAAAAGGTAAGTTAAAGCTATCCCATAACAGGCCGTGAAGGTCCATAGGGTTGCGAGAGGTCGAGGCTCCTACATTTTCTGTAGACAGTCGGCTCACACATGGCGGTGAGACTGTCAGCCTTACGCGCCGGCCGTCCTTTACCCTTCCACAGGAAGATTCCTGGTACTCATTTCTGTTAGAGGCTGAGTCGACCCCAGGGCCATAGCGCGGCTGGAAAATTACGTAAATTGAAAAATCCAGTAAGCTCATCGGGACTCGTATCCGCGACCATCCGGCTTTTAACACAGTGCCTCAACCAACTGCGCTACCGCGTGCTCCTTGAAAACGAGATACTACGGAGAAAACGCCTGCCAGGAGAGAGGAAGCCAAAAGAGGCCTTAGAAAAGTGCATAATGAGGTGATTCACAATTCACGGTATTCGTCAAGAAAAATTAGCTGATCATGGGAAGAGAATGAAACCGGCGGGGCATGTAGAGCGCATGGGAAAGAAGGGAAATGCTTACAGAACTGTTCTCTATAAACCTGAATTGTTTCTCGGATGATGCAGATACAGGTGGGAAGACAAAACTACAATAAGCACGGTGTGGAAGCGTGGAATGAATTAACCTAAATCATGACAAGGTCCATTGGCGGACTCCTCGGGTTTTACAGACCGAGTGACTGCTGCCTTCTGAGTAAAGGACTCAGGTCCGTTGAGACAGTGAATTGCAGATATGCTACAGTTTGCAGCAGACGAGTTCAGTTCACTGTGGCTTCGCGTCTCTCGTTGGTAGTATGTTCCTTTATTGGAGATGCAAATCTATTGCTGACGAAGTTAATTGCGAACAGGGGATTATGGTGAATAGCCATGAATTTTGAATTCATAAGGACTTTTTATTTTCGCTATATATATTCAATTCAGAAGAATATTTTTGATAAATATTACTGTAAGGCAGAGATAAAAGCCAAAATAAAATTGAGCTAAAACTAACGAGAATTCATTCATTAGACGAGCAGAGAGGCGGATGGCCGCGACCCTACCATTATGCGCGCAGTACGGGAGATGCCAACGTTTTCGGCAACTGCTCCATAGCAGTTGTGAATCGGGCCAGTCTACGAAAGCCTTGAAGGCAGAAGGTCTCAAATATGACGCCGTACCAGCAGGACGGAAGTCATACTGTTTGCATTTTCGTACCATTTATAATATTCACCTGTTCGTATTTTAGCTTAATCTTCCTGTAACAAGCCGACAGTTTGTAACACAGAACCCTACTCGCCTCATCTGATAGACTTCATATAAATGTCTCGAGAGCGTTGACTGGAATCGTACATATTACACTTAAACTAAGTCCTACTTGAGTAGTATCAGGGATATTTTTTAAAAGAGATCTGGCAGTTTTCTTAAACAAACCAACCTTGTGTGGAAATGGTGGTCAGTTATCCGTAGAATTTTTCTTCGCCTTTGTGCGTGTAGGAAATATGCAAGTTTATGCTCTTGC